ACGAACCAAGTATGTCCTGTTCCCTTGGCCTCAGAGTCGCTCCACCAAACAAACCCTGAAACCCCGCTCCACCAAAGCAAAGAAACCCTGAAACCCGTCACATTTACCCCTGCACTGAGATGGAAGGGTAAGGTCCTCAGTCGGCAGCAAGAGCTGAGGATGCCGGTGGCATTCTCCATCCACGTGAGTTCGTGAGAACGGAGGATGGGCTTGTGGGCAGAGAGCTTCCCCAAACTGGGATTGCATTTCTATATTTGTGCTCAGTCCCTGCTTTCCCACCTGCAAGCATCGTGGACAGGGAGTTTTAAGAGCAGCCTCCATACCCTCTGCATTCCAGGGTTGTCCTTTAATGAATAGCGATCTCTTTGGAAGGATGTAAAGCATGGATTTCTTTTCTCCCCAAACAAAGAGATGCTACTGGAGTATCAAACAGATCTTGAAGCCTAAGGTAACCCATCTGCAATACGTCCGCCTCTCAGAAGTCAGCTGAATACACAGATCTATCACTGTGGCGCTCTGCAAATCCGCTTTCAAAATATACTGCATACAAAATAACTCGCAGGGACTTAACTACGTTAATAACTTAAGAACCTAAATAAGCTGATATTTGATGTGACCTACATTAATGGGGAGGCATTACAAGGCAGATAAGCAGAACGTTCTCCTCTATTGTATAATACATGATTTATTCAGACCGTAAACATATTGAGAAAAGGATATGCTCTGGCATTCTGTCTACTTATTTTTCCCCCAGAAAAAAAAAAATAATAATAAAAATGATGTAAGAAGATCACGCTGGTGAGAAGATATTCATATCACAACAGCAACAGACTTCGTGGCAGGGCTGCCAGATACTTCTTTATGGTTGGAAAGATATAGAGAAAAGCACATAGGTTGCACCGCAGTGCACCCATAATTCTAACTACCAGCCCAAGAGTGGAAGCAGTTCATAGAAGAGGCTAATGGCTCTACCCTGACTGATATCATTGCATTAATAAAAATCTTTTTTTCCTGCTGTACTGTAAATGAGACAGCGGCTGAGTGTGCACTGCAGCTGCAAGATAAGGCGCTAGAAAGATATCTAAATTTTTGGCTAATTCTAGATGTCAAGATAATTGGATTTTCCAAATTAAACCTTTCTGTACTTAAAGAGGATTAAGGTTAGGGACTGTAGCAGGGAAAGCTACTGTCACTGCTATGAAGAATTTTTTGCTACAGTGCCATTTTTCTTCTTCTCTGTCTGCTCAAAGCAGGCAAAATGGCAAGAGCTTCATAAAAATATGGAAGTAGCTATATCATTTGCCATCAAAAGTTGGCACGGGAAAGCTTTGTTTCTTGTGCATCTACCTATTCATTTTACAAGCTCTTAGCAGCATTTTAGTGGGTGTTGAAGGGACAGTATGAGACTGTTTAGGCTAAAGTTTAATTTTTACTAACTAAAAGGTCTGTGAAATGCAACATTAGATATGGTAGAATGTAAGGATCTTGCAGAGCCAAGGTGCTCAGAGAAGAGTGGTATGTGGTGTTGAGTCCAATACACATTTAAACACTTGATCAAAACCAAGTTTGTTGCACAGGAACGTCTTTTGGCTTTTTAATTGTCGTGATAGCAATGTGCATCCCTCAAACCTTGTGACACTTGCGTGTCGTGAAGGAATTAATTGGTATTTTAATAGAAGTGCTGACAATATAAATATTCCCTGAGACACTTTGTCTCCAGATGGTTTTCTCTGCAGACTTTCTCTGATTCCCCACACTTCCAAAACAGGGATATAAACCTCCTGACATAGCAGAGCATGAGTCAGTCCCATAACTACAAAAAGAAATCTTCCCTACCACCAGATCACTCTGCAGCCTCTTCGTGAGCGAAGTCTTGCGTCTTTGCTGAAGCAATAGATTTTGTCCGCTGCTGAGGTAAACCACCAAATTTGGTGGACTCATGTCAGTCATAGTCCTTACATTATTGTGCACGGCTAGACAAGCTCTTTCTTATAGTTTAAGGTCATCTCAAGGACTTAACTTTTTCTAACTCTGCTGGAATTGAAGGCTGCAGCGTAGCACCATGTGATGAGGTATCGCTGCAGAGCTCACTTGCAAGACACGCAAAAAAAGCAATCATCATCTTTCTTTATCATCTTTAACACTTCAGCAGCTACCCCCATACTCACGAAAGAGCCTGACACTTCTTCCACTCCAAACCCAGAACTGCAATGTCCTCCCTGGTGTATCTGAGAGGACATTGCAGAAGGGAGCCTGCAGAAGCAAAGGCACTAAACCCCATGCAAATGGGAAGAAACATTGTCCTGTCCTCCCTGCAAGGACTCTCTCGAAATTCCATCGGAGCCCTTGCAATCCTCTCCACAGCGTGACTCTACCTCGAGTAGCTGCGCGGTGTGCAGAATGACAGATGATGTTCTGTAGGCATCCCTGTTTCCTGGACACGTTGCCAGATATTCACCCACGGCTATGGCCTTCAGCGCAGAAAAATCCTCCGGGATTTCATCATATAAAGTTTTCTCCTCCAAAGTTTTTATGGACTGAAGTTTTATATCCTTAAAGACTTTACCCCATAAAAATCCAAGAGGATAATAAAACAAATAGCATCTACGTCCAGGGTCAGTAGCTTGGAGGAAAAAAAAAAATGCTCTTGGGTAATAATAATACCTTCAGTAGCAGTATTGACCAGAAACTACGGATCTATTCCTCTCCCCGTTGGCTGACATTTCGCCATTATTGCCCTCTGAGCTAGTCACTATTTGCATGCTGTGCGGAGTAGCCACGGGTACATGGCAATGCAGAGATATTACGGGCATGACTTTGAACTGTTCTTGAGGATGATAAAGCCAAAAGTGAACTTTTACAGGCAGAATGCTTGTAGAGTTTATCTATCTGGTCTGGCCGCTCACGTTTTCGTCTCGCTGCCTCACTCCATGTATTTGAAATCTGAAGTGTAGGAATACAAGTAAAAACACATGCATGTGCTCATATTAATCCAGCTGAAGAAATGGCTGCCAAGCTACAGAAAATAAGCAGAATACCCAACGTCTTGCACAAAATAAAGCTGACCCTATTCCATGCCTATATTTACACCTGACATCCAATAAAACTTGAACAAGTAGGCCTCTGCTTTTTCAAAAATACAGCTTGCAAAGCTAGATGGGTACCACTGTTTTGCTACAGACCCTCTAAGGGCCCTGAACGACGAGATAATTGAAGTCCATAGAAATATGAAATCCTAAAATCACTTTCCTATAAATCAGTGCAGACTGGTAAGTATCCCCGCAGGGACGAACAGGCGCGGATCCATTCGTGGGCCCCCGAGCGCTTGGCAGGAGGACACATTTGCTATTTTCTGGTCTGATACCTCCAGAGCTGTGGCATTAACCATGGATAACACAGCTGCGCCCATGGAAACTGGAACTCCTCCTCACCGAGGGGGAATGTTATTACTGCCCCGGGTGGTCATGATACTATTACACACATTTGAAGCTTGCTAATTTTCCAGGGCTAAATACTGCCCGCTCCAGACTGCTTCCATGCCAGTAAATGCAGGATAATGGGCTGACTAAATATAGCCATCTAAAATATAAACAAAACCCCCATGATAGCCTCGACATCCAGGCAGAATATTCAGCGTGAGAGCACGCAGGGTATACGTACGGCAGCCTATCCCCATATCTGCTCAAACCAATTATAGCATTTCTGCGGTATTTCTGCACATCCCATACCAATAAACAGGATGGAAATAAACTGGCGTAAGACCACATCAGAGGGCCTGTTGTCTAAAGCCATTAAGGAGAAGGACATATATACTTAACTAATTGGCACTCTCAGCCTTCCGCTGGGGGTTGGTGGGAGCAGTCGCCAGCTGAACAACTGACTCACGGAGGCACTCTGTGTCTTGGATAATTTGACATCGGTGGAGGATAGGCTGGAGAACAAAAGTCAGGACTTGTCAATAAAACACCGAGCTAGTCCCATAATGATACTTTTTGTGCATCACTTCAGTGTATGAGGTGATCTGGGAGATTCATACGCTCTGTTAAAAAATACGTATCTTTTCCTCTCACGCCTTTCTGGCCATCTCTATTAACCTTGCGTTAGCATTGTCACTATTAACCATGTTTATGCTCCTGCCAAGATCCATTCATGAAGTCTTGCAGGCCCCCCAGTTTCCAGGAAGGACTGGCCATGTCAGGAAGACAAAACCTTTGTTAGCAACAGACGCAGCCGAAGCGGCGCGGAGCATGGTCTTACCCAAGCTGCAACCCAGGAGGAATTGCAGCTCAACTTCCCTTGCACTGATCGATACGAGCACCCAGCAAGGCTGTTTCCAGGCCAGTAGCTCCTCCTGGCAGTTTTGGCACCAGTTCATCGGGGTCCACTGAGTGTGAAATCCCCCTCTCTGCATAAGACCAGCACGATGCATCATTTGAGTCATTTTTAAGGGCTGACAAGGTTCATAAGCTTGGTGTTGCCCTCTGCGCAGGAGTGGATTTTACTGTTAATGCAAATGGTGTTTAAATGCAATATTTTAAGACTAATATTCCATATAGGCACAGTGTCTGATTCATGCCAACTCAAGGGGTAATATGAATGCTTAGTATTGTTTAACCAGCTCCCAAGGACTGAATAAAACCCTCAGATGAAAGACGTGACCTTCAGAGAGCATGGAATCACTTTTTCTTTTCATCTAAAAGATAATTTATCTAATACTTTTCTCCTCATTGAAGACATAGGCTCGCTGCACTGAAAACTGTTTACAAATGTTCTTTCTCCATTAAATTGATTTTCTGAGTATAGATAGGCAGTGTTTTCTGGAACTAATTTAAATTCCCCTCTAATTAATATTCAAGACCAAAATATGTTATCTTTGCATGACTATGCAATTACTAAAGGGAAAATATCATCTCTGAAAGTAATTATTTTTCTTTTTTTTTTTTTTTTTTGTAACTAGCCATTAACCGACACGAAATATATCTTTACTTTGCCTTTTTTAGGCGATGATTGAAGAAGCCATCACCAGAGAAGAATCTTTTTCGGTTATGTATACGCCATTTGTGACGGAAGTCAAGGCTGACAAAAGAAACGAGATAAAGGACATGTTTGCTAAAAAGCACCCTGACTACGCGGTGCACATCTACACAGGTAACAGCAGATTTCACACGCTCTTACGCACCATCTACTGTCTGGGTGAGCGGCCAGCAAAAAGAGTTTGAGAGTCTGGAGCATGAGCCTTTACATTTCTGCACCTCGGGGCAGGGGGGGAATTGACTTCTGAGATTTGCTCTATGATTGCACATGATTTAGGTAATCAAATCAGTACTCAGGCAAAGCACAGACTTTACACTGCAAAAAGATGATTTTTATCCCTGAAGCCTCATGTTTCAGTTGTTGAATTCCATTATTGCAACCAAGCTCTTGTTCAGTGTATTGTGGTGCCAGCGAGACCCAGGTTCGTTCCCATCTCCCCGGATTTCCATCATCCCTGCATCCCCTTCGCTTTCCAAAAATATCCTCCCTTCTACGAGCACTAAGGGACTGACTGCCACCTTTGAGAGCATCTCGGCTGCAGAGATGGGAACAGATAGCCAGGTTTCCTTGAGCCTGTTGAAAAGAAGTAGGATCTGGAGTGAACAAGGGCTTTGCAAAGCCCGTTGTCATCTCCCGGTAGAGTGAACTCAAGTAGCATCTCCTGGAGTAAACAGACACTTCAATTCTAGTGACTACAGCTTTATTTCAAGAGGAATGGGCATGGCATTTTGGCAAAAGAGAGGCAGGGGGATAAGAGGCATTTCTTGCTGTCATTAACCTGGTGATGGGCAACATAGTTGACCCTGATAACGCTTGGCTTTGAGTTGGTAATTGAGAAACATAAAGGGAAAAGGACATTTCTCAGGTCAAATTCTGCAAAGCCTCTATCTTCATCACACAAAGCAGATGTGTGGCTCACCCCTCACCACAGCTTCCAGCAGGGTGGCCCAAAAGGCTGAGCTGCCGCCCGCTCCCGGCGAGAGTTACGCCAGGTCAGAGGTGGTGGCTTCGTCCTCGCAGCTCGGCTGAGCCCCAGCATGCTGCGGATAAATAAGGCTTCCAAAAGAATACACATTGTGTCTTTGGGGAGGAAAAGAAAATCTATTTGAAAAAGACAAATAGGAATTAGGAAACCAAGCGTTTACCACAAAACTCTGCAAATATTTAACACAGATAAACTTGTTTTCCTTTAGGAAACCAGTATAAAACTACATTGTACTCTGCAAGTTGCAGACCACCCATGTATTGGATTTCTGGCAGCAGCTTTGGGGTTGATTGAAGAGGGAAAATGAGGACTTATCTATCACAGAGGTTGTAAAATCCCTGTCTACCATTTACTTGCTGATGTGACTTTGTGGAGAATAGCCAGGGACAAAAGTATTGGCATTAAAAGGAGCATGAAATAAAACTCCCCGAATCTGATTTTTAAAAAGATAAATTCATATTTCCCATAACCCCCTCAACTGACAGTACGGGCAAGACTTCCAGGCGCACGTAAGCAGCAGAAGTGTGCAAGTGTTGCACTGAAACTCAGTTTGTGTTCATAAATCCCTGAATGACTCCAAAGGTGTCACCAGGCATTTTCTGACTCCTTCCAACAAGGAAAAGGAAGAAGGGGAGGACAAAAAAGGGTAAAAAGATCCCAGTCCTATTGTACTTTAGTCAATTATAAAACAGATTCAATAGAGCCAGTTCTGCCTTCAAATAAGTTTGTTTACAAAAATCTATTGGTTAAAAGACTTGCTTCAATTTTACACAGATTTCTCTGAGTGCAGGTTCTGGCATCACTAAGTTTCTAGGAATTAAATGGGATAGACAGCCAAGAAAAAACCACCTGGGTATCAGGGTTTTGAGAATGGAGCAACGCAAGAGGTCTCACGCCGGTGGGACCTCTCCCAACCCCCTCCTTTCTGTCCTGGAAGCCCTCCCAGGCAGAGGGGACGCGGCTCCTTTCCCCAGACCCCATGCTGAGATAACTCGCAACAGTGCCAGCTGAATTCAACCCAGTAGGGGTTTCTCAACTTATCTATTCAGATCTGACCTAAAAATCACACTGCCTACCAAAAAAAAAAAAAAACCAAACCAAAGCAACACGTAAAGCCCGTTCTCGGGGGGGGA